TATTTTAATTCAACTTTTAAAAAAACAAAATTTTTTCCGCAATTTTTCCTTTGTTGACTGGCCTAGATGTCAATTTTAAACTTGTAATTGAGCTAAAAGTTATGGTAATATATTCAATTTATTTTACTATAAACTTTCATAAATCTTTATCAAAAATTTTTCATCAACTTTAAAGAACCAAAAAAATAGGTTAAAATTGAAAATTTGGACTGATTATTTTTAACATATTAAAAATCAAATCAGTAATAATTTGAAAACAAATTTTTTTTTCTTTTAATTATTATTTTATATATATAATTAGTAATAATATAAAAAATTAGAAGTGATAGAAATAGTCTACTTGCAGATTTGAAAACAACGCGAAAAGTTGATTTAGAAAAGTATATTTTTGCTTCTGATGAAAGTTCCTTGTAGTCCAGTGCATTTTTTTATAGTAACAAACAGTTTTTATTGAAAATTATTGTATCAAGCCCTTTAAATTTTTATACACGTAAAAGTAAAGCAAAATATAACTTCTTTATTATTTTTATAATTTCTCCGTTTAAATTACAATATTAAATATCAATTTCATACTAAATTTAATAATTATAATTAGTATATATTCAAATATTATATTTTAAAATCAAAGAACTACTAATCATGATATAATTAAAGAAATAAGAGTTGATGTTGCTTTTGGAATAATCCACCAATTGCCTAATTAAAACAAAAAAAAAAAAAGTTTGTTGGGAATTTTTTCTGCTATTCTGCAAAATTACTCCTTCGTTGACTAGAATGAATCATTAAATAGAAAATTTTATGAGAATTAAAACAATGTTATTTTTAAGATTAATATGCAGTCAGAAAGTTTTATAATTATTATTTATTGTAAATTTATCAGAAAAACTCATTATTTTTTGCATTTTTATCGTAATAGAACACTTAAATAGAAATCATAGTAATCATTTCTAAGTAATTTTTGATATTTAAAAAGATTCTACTATTGAAATATCCAGAACTGAATTAATTTTAATGATTTACTTTAACTAAAAAAAAAAAAGTTAATATTTTGAATCCCTCTTGTGGGCAGGTAAAGGGTTAGATTTATAAAAAAAACCAAATGATAGATAAAGACATGCATCTAAATAAAAAAAAATATACTGATTTGGTCATTTTTGATAAAGTTATAACAATTAACAAAGTTATAAGTTTTATACACTGGACTACAAGGAACTTCCATCAGAAACAAAAATATACTATTCTAAATCAACTTTTCGCGATGTTTTAAAATGTGCAATTAGACTTTTTCTATAACTTCTAAGTTTTAATATTATTAAAAAATAGTTTTTACATATAAAAAAAAATAATTAAGAACAAAAAAAATTGTTTTAAATTAATACTGATTTGATATAATATTTAATATTAATTTGATTATTAATAAGTTAAAAATAAGGAAAATGACATATTTAACCAATTTTGTTAATCGTTTAAAGTTGATTGTTGTAAATGTTTATAAAAAAAAAAAAAAATTTATTTTACCATAACTTTTAGCTCAATTGGTAAGTTTGACATTGACATAATTAAATAGAAAATTTTATGACAATTAAAAAAATTGTATCGTTAAGATCAATATGCAGTCAGAAAGTTTTATAATTACTATTTATTGTAAATTTATCAGAAAAGCTCAATATTTTTTTGCATTTTTATGGTAATAGATAACTTAAATAGAAGTAATAGTAATAATTTCCTAGGAACTTTTGTTGTTTGTTGAAAAGATTCTATAATTGAAATATTGAGAACTTAATTAATTTTAATGATTTACTTTAACTAAATGTACCAATCAAAACAAAGTTGTTAAAAAGATTTACTCAATTGAGTTTATTATAAAATTTGATTATATTTGTAAAAATCAATTGTTAATTCAGGAGAAAAAACAATCATTTTTTTTAGAAATGATTTATATAGCAACACGTTAGAAAAAAATTTGAATATTATAGTCTAATAGTAGCACACACAAACAGAGTAATAAAATTATTAAATTACAAAGTAAAATGATTTAATTTTGTAGTTGAAACCTATCATATCAAACTTCATTCGTTAATAAATATTTTGAAAACATTAGAAATTAATGATTTTAATTGTCTTTATGGAGACGATGTAATAACTAACTGTTTAATTGATAAATTAGAATTTTTTTTTCAATTTTTGAGAGTAATATCTTCAACTAGATACGAATTGTAGTAATTTGACGTATTGTTGAAAAAAGTAGGTCAAGTTAGAGCAGAGAAAATAAATGATAGTCACAAAAAAATATCTTCTCGGCTTTGCATCGAAGCGAAAACTTAAAATATAGTAAAATAATTTTAATACGAATAAGAAATTTCTTCTTGCAAGGGGCGACTAAAGTGATGGGATCCTTGATCTTTATTGAAGTTATTGAATCTAAATGTGATAAAAATCAAACGAGTTAAAATTTATACTAACTTAAAAAGAATTAAGAAAAAATGCAAAAAATTCATTGCCATATGCGGGTTGGAACCTCGTACCCCAAGCGTGTAAAACATAAATTTTACCAACTCGGCAACCGTACGTTGCTTCCGGCGGTTGAAAAATTGGCTATTTAAGCTAGTTCAAATTTCAAAGTTATTTTTCTCGACTTAAAAGAAACAAACATATTTAAATAAGTTTAACTATCTATACTATATCAATTTTAATTTATATAATATTTATGAAAATCTGTACTCCCCTTGTCAGGTATTTTAAAATAAAATAAAATACAAAACCCAGAATTTTAACACAAAAATAGCATATTTTTGCATACGGTAGTCATTTTTACCATGAAGACAAATCCAGAGGTCAAATTTTTTTTTTTCACATTAAAGTATATTACATAAGCTTTAATTTAAGATATATTTAAAAGTGTCAGTATTTCCGGAATACTTTCAAAAATTAAATTGAAAATATCGTAGTAACAATACGCATGTTTAAAGTTTTGACCCCCCTTGTTAAAGGGGTATGATCCGATTTACAAAAAAAGCGTGCCAGATGAAAGGGGTATATAAATATTTATTATAAAAAAATAATAATATTGATCCATACATTTTTCCAAAAGTTATATAAAATATAAATTAAATAATATAACATATAAAATCGAGATTTTTTTCACGGAAATCGTACGTTTTTCTTTAACTTTGATGTCCGTTTTCACCACGAAGACAAGTCCAGAGGTCAAATTTTTTTTTTTCAAATTAAAGTATATTACATAAGCTTTAATTTAAGATATATATAAAAGTGTCAGTCTTTCCGGAACATTTTCAAAAGTTAAGTTGAAAAAGTTCTACTTTCTATACGCATTTTAAAAGGTTTGCACCCCCCCTGTATAAAGGGAAATGGTCCGATTTTAAAAAAAAGTATGTCGAATGAAAGAAGTATATATAAAGTATTTATCATTAAAGAATAAAGTTGATTCATGCATTTTTTAAAAAGTTATAGCAACATAATGTTAAAAAATGTAAAATATAATATCAAGAATTTTTTCACAAAAATAGCATATTTTTGCATACGGTAGTCATTTTCACCATGAAGACAAGTCCAGAGGTCAAATTTTTTTTTTTCAAATTAAAGTATATTACATTAGCTTTAATTTAAGGTATATATAAAATTGTCAGTCTTTCCGGAACATTTTCAAAAGTTAAGTTGAAAAAGTTAATTTTTTGTAAAAAAGTTACCATTTTGAAACCCCATCCTTTGGGCTGTTAAAGGGTCAAATGTTCACAAAAATATATAAAATGATAGGTAATTATCTAAGGTATCTATAAAAAAAAAAATTATATTGATTCGGTCATTTTTAAAAAAGTTATGGCAATTTTAAGTAAAAAAAATTGAAAAAATATCGAAAATTAGCGATTTTTAAATTTGTAATTTTTTGGGGGATTTCCCCCGTTTACGGGGAACGAGGGAATTTTTTTCAATTTTTGAGGGTAATGTCTTCGACTAGATACGATTTGTGATCTTTTGACATATTGTTCATCAAAATCGGTCCAGGGAGAGCTGAGATTGAGCGTTCACAGACACAAAAAAAAAAAAAATAAAAAAATAAAAAAACACATCATAGTAAAATTAATTCGCATCGAAGCGAAAATAAAACAGTGAATGTTTGTGCAAAGTAATTATTTCTTAAATAGCAAGCGGGCACACTCTAGTGGTGATTTTATAAATAAGAGCTAGATTATTATTTTTTTCTTAGCACGTAATAATTAATATTAAATTAATGACACTTTATTAATTAAAATGCCACGCATCGACAATTACACAACTCTACAAAATTTTGGCTAAAATATGTTTATGGATATTTTTTTTTATTTCCGATAAGTTTTTTGAGGCTGAATCTGAATTTTCCCTTACTTTTTTTCGATTATATATATTTTTCCACAGTTTGAAAATTTGTATATTATTGTTCATTTCCACTTTCAACGGTAGTATAATTTTGCAATTTTTTCTAAATTTTTAAAATTTAGATTGAGGTGTCTCTAATTTTTGTAAGTGATATTTATAACTAGATTAAATTTAGGTTCTTTTGATATATAGATAAACTTAATTGGATCAATGAGAGATGAGAAATTTTATGGACAAACGCAAAACAAAAATTTACAAGTTAAAATTAATATCATCTCATTTTTGTATTCAAGTTAAAAACCTAAATGAAAGAGTAAATAGTGTAATTTTAATTATAATTAATATTATGATATTGTATTTGTAATTAGTAACTATAGACATAGCTTAAAAAAGTGTCAGTGGTGGCTCTAGTCTCAAACTCCATATTATCATTTTGGATAATACATCTGATGGGAAACTTCTCCATTACATTTCATTATCACCCCATTTATTCTAAAAAATCAATTTATTTATGGGGCTGCCAATATTTAAAAGTATAAAGCCCTCATGCAATTACGCTAATGTCAATGGTTAAAGTTTAACCATTAAACGTTAAATAATATTAGATGTTCATCGCTAGAGCTCACTGCTTTATCAATTTTTCCATTTATATTATCATAGTTCGTAACTGAAAATTTTTAGTGATAACAATAATGTGTAAAGTATTAAAACTATTTTAAGTTAAAACTATGTGTTATACAATCATTTGATTCATGAGGTATTATGTGAATATTTATTAAATTTATTAATCAGTACAATTAATTTTTGCATTAAAAGTACTTTGAATTATTGTAAATACTTGTGTTATTATTTTAAAATTTAAATTATTTTGTTCAAATTATTATTTCCAACTACGACTTTAAATTATAACATTTTACTTAGTTCATGTAATTTTTATCTACATTAATACCTTCCTTATAAGTCTTGTGTTATTTTTATTTAGGAAATATATTTAATATGTTTAATAAAGTTGTAATTGTAATAATAACTATGTAATAATACATAGTTTACTTTTCAGATGTTATATTTAATTATTAAATGAAGAAATAATGCTATGTCTTACAACAGTGAATTTTTGTCGTCACAGTCTCAAACATCCAGTTCTTCTGGAAATATAATATCAAATAAGATACCCGGGAAGCTTAATTGTAAAAATGAAAAAACTAGTAATTCTTCACCTCAAAAGTATTTGTTTGATTTTGAGCAATTAAATTGGAATAAACAACAATCACTTAGTGGCATGTCCAAAAACACATTAATTAAAATTGAAAATGAACGGTTAAATATTATGAAAGATTTACAAATTTTAAAAGCTATTCAAAAAGAGAAAACTAAACAAGAACATTTAATGGACACATTGCTACAAATTAAAGAAGAACTAGAAAGTACATGTAAACTTAAATGAATACTAAATTAATTTTTATGTTCAATTTGTTCTACAGCAAACTAAACCATTATTTGAAAACTTTGTTCATAATTCAAGTATAAAAAAAAATGTTCTTTATATTTTATTAAAATTAAATTTTAATCCAACATTTTATCTGTTATAAAGAACATTAATGACACTTGCTACATAGTTATAATTATTTTAATTCTGATAAATGCGTTGATTATCTATTTAGAGAGGAATGGTCATATATTTTGTCTACTTTTTGGAAGAAAGAACTTGTAAGAAAGATACATGGTTATTTTTAATTACTGTATTTATTATTGATTATGTAATTGATCATAAAAAATAAGAGGTATTAGCATAGAAATATTGTAAACATTTATTAAGTTTAAGTTTAAAATGTTAATAGATTTAAATTTTTCTGAAGTTTTAATAAATTATTGACTATTATTATTAAAAAATTATAAATTTGCACAATTTCAGTCTAATTAGACGATAGAGCAAGGGTAAAATTGCTATCACAAAATTTATAAGTAGATCAGCACCATGAACAGATAAACATAAGGGTGCTTTGTCTTTAATATTTGAATTCAACATTTTTATTTTTCATCATGGGCCATCTTTTTTCCAAGTTTTAATTGAATTTATATGATGATAATGTTAAAATAAAAATGAAAAATATAAATCATAACTATCAATATTAAATTATAAAAATTGTTTTAATTGACCGTTTGTTGATAATATTTGTAGGTTTCGGTGTAATATTGAGATTTGCCCCTAAACATTGTGGGAAGGGTATTGTCCCTCTGAACCATCCCCATAATACGACCTTAATCTCTTTTCTAATGAGCTCTAAATATGTATTGAAATTTGATCTGACTAGAAATATTACAAATAATACTATTCGTACAACTTAAGATCATGTTGTGAACATTGGAATATCATAAAAGTGGGTTTATCAATTTAAAAGTTAAAGTATATTTGTTACTTTTAGTAACTTTTTTAATTATAAATTTATAGGATATGACAAAATGAGTAAAAAAGAATAATGGTGGTTTAAAGTCTTACTTTCATAGTTGCAGCATTTTGTAAATTATGGTAAAAGGGGTTACTTATGACATAATATAATACATGAGTGCATTATATTTATATTATATATTATATATATATTTATGCATTAGTCAAGGGAGGGATAATAGGGGAATTGGCCCAGATTTTGAAGTTTTGATAGAGCAATATTTTTTTTAAGAGCCGAATAAAAATTTGATTTTAATGTAAACTGAAATAATGTTCATTGTTATTATTAAATAAATAAAATATTTGTCATGTATATAAAATATATGTTTATAGATTTTAGCTTCGATGTTAATTTTACTATGATGTGTTTTTTTTATTTTATTTCTTTTACATACTCGTAAGCGAATACGGTAATAAATAGAGTAATACGTCTTATTACAGGAGCACATTTTTTATCAAAAAAACTTCGCCAGCACTATAATTTGATTGAAATTGAGTTTTATTGTTTTTTTTTACAGTTAAACTATGGGTAATCTTATGCCTAATATGTAATCTAAAGTGATGAGACTATTTATATATTTATGCATTTGACATATCGGCATATGCATATATAATATACNATATTTATGCATATGACATATCGGCATATGCATATATAATATACATATTTTATAGAAACGCTATTAATTGTAAAACTACTATAATAATAGATAATCAAAAATAGATATTTTTATATGAAAGTGTTAATAATTATGCATATAATGAAAAACAATTGTAAAAAAAACCTAGCACAGTGGGGTCGTGGCATAGTTGGGTCCAGTATAGATAATATCTGACAGTGATTAAAATCACTGATTTAGATAGTGTTTAATTAAAAAAAAAAAAATTGTTAAAATAGCATATTTTTTAATACGGTAGCTATTTGCGCATAAAAGATAGGTCGTCGGGACAAATTTTTTTTTTTCATTTTATAGAACATAAAATAAGCTTTAATTTGATATATGTTCGAAGGACGCAGTATTTCCGGAACATTTTCAAAAATTAAGTTGAAAAAGTTACCATTTTAAATCCCCCCCAATGAGCAGGTTAAGTGATAGATTTTCAAAAAAATGATATCAAATGAAAGGTAAATATCTAAGGTTTTAGTATAATAAAATATTATTTTGATTTGTTAATATTTGAAAAAGTTATGGAAGTTTTAAGAAAAAAAATGACAAAATTTATGTGATCTTTTGACGTACATTTGAAAGAAATTAGTCTAGTGAGAGCTGAGAATAAGTGGCAACAGACATAAAAAAAAAAAAAACACATCATAGTAAAATTAATACCTTCTCAGCTTCGCATCGAAGCTAAAAAATATAATATTTGCCATAGCAAACTTCCTAAGTCATTTCACTGCGGCCCAACCACACTCGTGTAGTTTTACCAGTCCTTTGAACTTTGTGATAGGACACGCCATCATAATGTGCATGATATTCTATGTCTGATTTGTGGAGTAGATAGATTCATTTCCCCTGTCTAGTCTAATGTGATTGTGTTTTATATTTACAATCCCAGTCAAGACTTCTATGATTCTTTATGGGTTTTTTAATCCCCATTTTTAATTTTATTTAATTAATTAGCAACAAGTGATCAATTTTTATTATAGAGTGGTATTTAACACTGAACCCAAGTAGATCTATGGCAAAAACCTTTCATCTCAGTAATAGGGAGGCAAACAGATAACTACACATAGAAATAGATGGACAAATATCGCTTTTGAAGAATTTCCTAAATACTAGGAGTGAAATTTAATAGAACCTCAACATAAAATCAACACTTGGAAGATACATTTGGATACATTTTTGGAACAATTGGAATAAATTATAGTGATGAGTTAAAAAATTTGTTTGCAGAGCAAAAAAAAATGATCAATATAATTTTTGCCCTCGATATAATATGTTTTAACTATTTAATGATATTATTTGTTAAAATGTTTAAAAAGGAAAAAATTACCTTCTTAATTTTAAAGAATATCTACCAAAAAAGTATTTGTTCATGTCGGTCAATACATATTAAACCATTCAAATTGGTTGCGCAACTATTTTAAATGTATTTGAAATTTTACACATGAGTTTCCTAGATGAAAAAAATTAAAGTTTGGTTTTTTATAATTTTGTTATATTGTAAATTATTAAAAAAACTTAGTTTTTCATGACTAAAATTCTATTACTAATTAAGTTTAAAAATGTATTTCATTATTATAAAATTTATGATACATGCAATTTAGAAACGATAACATAACGTTTCCGTCACAATGTAATACATAAATTTATATAACCTGGAATATTATAGAAAAATAACCTTGTAAATTGAAATTAAATGTAAATAAATTATAAATAAAAAAAAATCACAATTCGAATTTTGGTTATTACTATGGAGTACTTTTCAAATATAACAACAAAAATAAACTTGCATGTCAACGAAATCATGGATTTATAAATAAATATTATAGTATAAACATTTTTAAATTTGCGATCGTTGCCTATGTATTAATTATTTATTATGTATAACAATAATGATAATAATTTATATTTTTCAGCATTTTCTGTATGTTTTAAAATATAATTTAAATGTCAACTAATTCATTCGATTCGTTATCATCTCAATATTTGGAGTTATTAGATATCTCTAAATATAATATTCCTATTGAAAACTTACCTTCTGTGCCTATAAAAAATGGAATTTTAACTCGTAGTGTATTAGTCAAAGGCCTTGCAAAATTGGAAGTATGGAAAAATCCAGAAGTTCAATTTAGTTTTACAGAACTTACCCTTAACGATTTGGTATTCTAATAATTTTATATCAATATAACAAGAACTAAAAGGCCACAATTAATGCTAGATTTATGTTTTAAGATGCCACAGTGTAAAATAGTAAATGAAATATCCAAATGAATTGCTTGATCTCATGGGATAAGTTTAAACTTTATTTTTATTTAAATTAAATTACTTTTTGATTTCTCATTAATTTAAATTATAAATTTCAAGGAAAATTATTCCTGTTCAACGGTTCATAAAATTATTTGTACTGTAACCATGCATTAGTAATAAATACATTCTTTAGTATACATAAAAAATGTACGATCCAGGTTTTATAAATCCTTCGCGAACATGATAAATATTATATTGATCATAAATCTAAGTAAAAAATATTTTTTAAGATTAATATCGTGTTTAATATTTTGGAATTTGATTGATTGATTGTTTCATATGCTGTATTAATTCAATTAAATCATTTAAAAACTATTATTGATCCTAAAATGAATACAAATTTGGTTTTGATTATAGTAAGTACTTCAGTTCACTATATCATGGAATGCAATCTCTGTGCCTATATAATTTTCTTACTTGGTATGTTTTCTAAAAGAATGTTTAATAAAAGAAATATTGTAACTTCATATCTATTTTTAATTAAACGATTAATAAGACTAGATTAAACTATTAAAAAAACTATATTCATATACAACAATTCATATAATTATTATTTTCATAAAAATTAAAACGCAAATTATAATACAAATTTTAGAACCTTTAAAAGTTTTTAATATTCAATTTTTTTAGGAAATTTTATTGATATTTACAATATAATTACCTTATGGCCTTCTGTTTTAACTTGAATTAATGGAATATTAATTTTAATTTGAACTTATGCTAAACATTTTTTGTCGTCAAGTCAAAAAATATTATAAATAATTTTAAAGGCAAAATTTAAAGGAAAATAAATACAAAATTATGATTTACTGAATATTCAATAAAATAGTTATTAATCTGTGGCTTTATTTTATAATCATTTAATACAATTTTTTTAAAAGATAATCTATTTTATATAAACTATGTATATATAGAATCTGGTTGATATTAGCTTAATTGGACAATATACATTTTTGAAGCGGTTGATATTATCTAAAAATTTGATAAAAGATCTTTCAATGTTGGGAAATCTTAAGAATTTGGAATTTTTAGATGTTTCGAACAATTGCATTGAAAAAGTTTTGGATTTCACGACTGAAATACCATTGAAATTGTATTATGCAGACTTTTCTTACAATAAAGTAAAATGTATAAGTGATTTAGAGGACTTTTGGCATTTGATTCACTTAGATGTATCACATAACACAATTAGTTACATATCCGGTATTTTCAAATTAAAGTAATTACAACAATTTATCATTAAATACTTAACTTTCTCTATATTATTATTAAGTTCTCATAAAACGAATTAATTTAACGTAATTTAATAACGCATATTTTAGATTTTTGAAATTTTTGGATTTGTCTAATAATTATATCAAGCAAGTTAATTATGATGAGTTACCCGAGAATTTAGTTGAAATTAGATTGTCCTATAATCAGTTGAAACGTGTAAAATTATACAAGGATTTATCAAACTCATGTGAAATACT